GATATATTTTAAGTTAAGATTATATATTTTTTTTATAAATTATTAATTAATACTTTATTTTACATTTTATAATAACATATTTATTTTTTAAAAATGAAAATACCTTATTAAATTTTTGTAATAATATATTTATTTGTGAATTGATTTTTTTTGTTAATGTTAAAAAATAAAAATAGTAAAATAGAAATATTGATATAGTAATTCAAATAGAATAGTTGCATATGTTTTTTGCCTTGGAATTTAATAAAAAATAAAATAATAATGGCTTTGTGCATGTATTAATTAATAAAGAATTTATATAATAAGTCTTAGATTCTTGACCGATGCACTATCACTAAAATTGCATAATATCTATGCATCTCGCTATATCGGTTGCAATATATTTCTTCATATATACCATTAAAATATAAAGCTCCTATGTATTTATATATTATTTATAATTATTTTGACATTAAACTTAATATTTTTAATATATTTATGGAATTTCTGTGCATTTCCCAAGCGTATCCAAACGTTTCTATATTTTTCGTCCGTATGCATGCATTTCCTAAGTGCATCGGTATCCGTATCCGTATCCAAGTTGTCTGAGATGATACCTGATACCGATATTTTGATCATTGAAAAGCACACACTAGGCTTATGGATTCTACTGAGATTCCTAACTTGTCTCTACAGAGATTGTCTCCCTACCCCTCTCACATTCTAACTAATTACCCTCATTGACAAAAGTATTGATATTCAGACCTATACTGCCCATTTCTAGAAGGGTGATTTCCCTGTCAACATCAATATCTTGTCGTATCCTTACTTTCATGGCTAAGCGAATCAAATCCAAAGTTCATGGAGTTGATTTCGGTATTACCACATTACTGGTCATTCCATTTAGTCTCCATACCCTACCCTCTATCCTCCTCTTTTTCTTCGGAATCATCATTGTTGTACTTGCCCTTGAGATGTTTTTGGAAAATCTTTTGAGAGGTGCTAAAATTAATCTTGCTCTCTTCCCTTAGTTTCTTAGGAACCCATTGTTTATTAGGGGGGTTAGGTTCAGTTGGTTCAATAGTGGCATGGATTGCATTGATGAATCGGGTTCTACGTAGCTTAAATCTGCTAGAGATCAGGTCTCTTGATCTCCTAGCTGTCTAGGAGTTGCTCTTGTTCAACCCATACCTATCTTTTATTCTATTTGATTGCTTGACATTCTGGGAATGAACCCCATTGCTGGTAGCTTTGTGACCATTTTGAAACCTTCTTTATTTAACAACAGTCCACTCATCTTTTCTTTCATTCTAGTAGCTCTTTGTGCAATTCTCCTAGAAGACCTTCACTTTATTTCCATCGCCATCATTAGCCTCATTAGAGGTTAATGGTATTTCAAGAATAAATGGCTTAGATAAATTAACTTTTATACAAACTTGAGGATAAACAGTGCGGGATAATTTGTTTGAGGACCTTACTGACATCTCTAAGAATGATCTCCAGGTCGTCTCTTGACCAGAACTCAATTGGTAATCCTAGCAAGTGGACCCAAACATCCACCTCTTCGAGCTTAGCTCTGATGGGGTTGAAGCTCGACTTCCAAGGGACAAGCACTAGATACTTCCCGTTCACCATCCAAGGACCCTCCTTGATAACTCTAGAATAATCACTAGCTGAAGTGAAAGTGATTAAGAAGAAATCATTGGCTATCAACTGGATATCTACTTTGCTTTGAATGTTCCACTCTTTGGTTTTGTCGATAACTGCTCTAAGAGGCTCCGGGTCCCCTAAAATTTTTGCATACATGCATAGCGACCATTTTTCCTCATAACAGCTCTTCCTCTTCAACTCGTTGATATTAATGGCACGAGCCACCATTGAACTCCTACCCAGGGTAGAAGCCGCCCTCTCCTTTTCAAAGCAAAGGGACCTTCTTGCCTTACTGGACTCACCTATCTCGAATCTCCTGGAGGCTCTCCCATCCATCCTGCTCGAAAAGTTTTGGTTAAGATGATCAACTGGTTGTTTGTTACCACTGTCTCGACCTCCTCTCCATTGGCCCTTTAAATAGTAGTTCAACCCTTGGGTTCGGAGAACTTCATCAGACTAATAGGCCAGTGCCCATGCTGCATTATCTTTTTCTTGCACATGTTATACAAGCAATCAATTTGTGGTGTATATGGCTAACCCCTGTTGTTAGCACCCAATTTTTGCTCAATCCTTTCATCTTACCTTTTTGTACCCCCCTTTTAGACTCCAAAAACTTAGAAACACAACCAGGTTGACTTGACACTCTTTAAAACCCGGAATACCCCCTTTTTCATGCAATCCACAAGATAAATAAGAACCTTGATTAGACATCATCCCTAGACTTGGAAAACTACAACTTAGTTACACATCACTTTTCATGACTAAACTGTAAAGATTCACTGTTCATCACGCCAATTTCCTTTCTAACGGCCCCGATCCATGCGATATTCAAACTCCAACTCCCCAAAATCAAATCCAACATATCCATCACCTCAAGATCATTAGGAAACAATCAACTAGTGAATCCCAACATAGATTTATGATAACCAATTGCAAAAACATCAAGTTCCTATTCTGATGACCCTGAATGACTACCAAGATAGACCATATCTTTCTCAGATTAGAACAATCCACTTGATCCTTCACCCTAATCCATGCTTACCTACCAAATTGTAGCTTAAAATTCCCTCGTTTGACCCCCCATCAAGCCTAGATCATATTTTTAGTAAATCTCATTAACTAGAGCTTACCATCCATCATCCCAACTTTGTATGACCAATCAGACCTCACCATTGTGTTTAGTAGCCCAGAAAACTCCACCATGTTAAATTTTACGACCAAGTACCTCCATTTGTCCATTAAAAAAGTAAGATTCCATTTCAGTCTCTATCGTTGATTAGAAAACCATAAGCTGAACTAAAAAAATCAATCTACACATCTGATCAAAGATCTATAACTTCCATTAGATTCAGGACGTTCAAAAGTGTCAACCCACCAAATTTCATCCCAAAATTCCCTCGTTTACCCCTTCATCAAACAAAGATTCTATTTCAATAAGTCTTGTTAATCTGAGCTTATCAGCCATAGATCTCAATCATCGTGACCCTATTTAACCAATCAGAAATCACCATTGTGTTCAAAGACCCAAAAAACCCAAGAACATCAAATTTCACATCTTAATTCGTCCGTTTGACCGCTAAACTAGAAAGAGACCATTTCGATGCACCAGATTAAATTACCACGTCATCATGTCCTAACTTGAAGCCTCAAAAGTGTGATGGCTGATGTCTAACCCATTCTTGACCTATTAGAACACTTGGACCAATGAAATAGAGCCTAATAGGCTTAAAAAGCTTAAAATACCAAATAGATCCCCATTTATAGTTAAGAAAATACAAAACCACATTCAAAAGTTCATCAAATTTACATTTTCTTCCATTGATATTCCCAAATGCGAAACTGCCATGACAGGCACGCTCTAAGCTCCCATTGGGCATACAAAACACATGAAAACCACCCTAAAATCGAAGAAAATGTTTCACCAAACAAGAAAGCTTGACTAGACATCTATTTATTTGAAGAATCTTTGTCTATTTGTGTGAAAAACTTCTATTAAATCTCAGGCATTGTAGCTGAACGAATGTATACCTGATTACCCTCATTTTCTCTATAAATACTAATATAATTTGAGCTCTAAAGGGGGATTGAAGAGAAAAAACCTAAGGGAGGCCCTTAAAGAGAGAAATAGAGCTTTCTCCCAACCCATATACTGCTTCCTATCCACCCAAAATTCAAAGATACTATGAACATTAGATTCTGGACTTGCCTCCTCCATTTTCAAGTGAAAGTTGTTGCAACCAGAAACATTCCCTAGCTCAATAACCCATGTGAACTTAATTCTATCTCATCCTAGCTACTAGAAAACGTTTGACAAAGCACATACAAAAGGTAAGTCTTTTTTAGTTTTTCTAGGTTGCTTGAGGCTCTGAAATGTTGGAGAATCATCGTTTTCCATTTCTTCTTGTCTGGGAATAGAGGCAGAGAGGCGAGGGTCTTAGGGAAATTGGTACCTAAGACCTGATAACATCACCTCAAAATTGGTCTTAGGAAAAGTTGAAATCATGTTCCTCCAAATTTAAGAAATTCTTGCAACCATTGCTGTTGTTCACCAAAAGAAGTTGAGTTTGAATAACTCTCATATTGGGCTGCTAGAGCACCTTGGAGAGAGGGGTGCCTAATACCTTTTCTCCCCCAATTCTTGGGACTTGAAATCTCTTGATCATGTGTCTTTTCCATGGAGTACGGAGTCACTATCAAAGACTTACATCAAATTTTTAAATCTAAAAACAATGTCCCATTTTCTCTAAAAAATGGGTGGCGATTCCATCTCTTTGAGCCAGCCATAAACTTCGCTGAACTCACACCTGTGTATAAGTATTAATCTTTATACATGTACCCAGGAATAAGAATCAACTAATTAACTCATCTCTAGGGCCTTTTATGTATACTTTTGCATATCAGGCAAGTAATGTCATACTTTTGTTTCATTTCTTTTATAAAAAAATAAAAATTTGGTGGTGCACACAAGTTCTAAAAACTACCGCAATAATGATGGAAGTTTCGAACGGGGTGGAAGATTATCATTATTTCCATTCACACCAAGACCGTAGATAGATAGGGCTGGCCGCAATACATATTCCTGCTGCCTTTAATTTGTGTTCTGTGTATCTTCAGTTTGTAACCTAATCTTTCATTATTTATTTGTTTATTTTGTTTAAATTGCTATTCAAATTTTCTTTTGATTGCCTAAGTGTTTGCAGATAGGTGTGCAAACCTCATCAATTTCGTGGGTTTACTGGTTTTGTTTAGAATGGGAGGTCCCCTACTATCTCTTCTCTTCTTATAGATTACGAAGTTCAATAATATTTATATTCTTTTTCTTTTATAATCACTTTGTTTTATTTAATAGGACATATAATAACAATAAAGGATTAAATAGACAGTACTTTGTTGCAAATAGTAGGGATACAGTTGAGTTAGTCAGATGGTTTAAGTATCTTACCCTTTAATTAAACATATTTAACTAATCAATTACAAGGGCAAGACTTGAGATACAACAGATCGAATAGCACATGCAAGTTTGGAGCCTGCAGAAAACCCTATCGAGCTTCAAGGACAGTAATGGTCTCCTCGTCTACTGAGTATAATCCTGTTCCGGCAGTAGATGAATCTGGAGTACTGGGAGCTTCTTTCATTATAAAAGCAGGTTGTTTGGGAGGATGCAGAGCTGTTTCACTGCCTAACATCACAACAACATCGGACATGGTAGGCCTATCTGATGCACTTTCTTGTACACATAAGAGACCCACATGGACGCCTCTCAAAACTTGATGACTAGGATATGAATCACCCATAGCTGAGTCAACTACGTCCAGTACTCTACCTGCTTTCCATAGTTCCCACACCTGAAAATGTTCCACAGTGCATTATTTATTGACAGTGTTAAATAAAGCCTTTTTGTGCCAAGATATGGAAATTTATATTTGTTTCACTTACATGTCCAATCAAATTCAAATATGGGTCCTTACTGTTACAACCGTTGTTCCTCTTCCCACTGATGATCTCTAATACTAACACCCCAAAACTAAATACATCAGATTTTACGGAGAATAATCCATTCATTGCATACTCTGGTGACATGTAACCACTGCATCCCATTTCACGAAAAATGATAAATTAATTAGAAACAAGAAAATTAAAGGAACTAGCTTGCTTCAAACTTCAAAGTTAAAGCAGTGAATAGTATTGTCACCAGTTAATGAATTCAATGAAAAAGTCTTCTATGCCAAAAGAAAAATCCAGTACACACTTAATTGTACACGTTGATCCATTTCTTGACATGTAGAATGGATGATGGATCCTACTTACCATGTAAATTAAAGACAAAGTAAGCAAAGTAGATAAATTGTGGAACCCATTGAGATGATAACTTGGGTTAGGTAAGTAGAGAGTAACTTACTATGTCCCAACCACTCTGTTTGTATTTCCTTGAATTTGGTTCCCTCCAAATATTCTGGCCATGCCAAAATCTGAAATTTTTGGGTTCATATCTGCATCTAGTAGAACATTGCTGGCTTTTAGATCCCTATGAATAATTCTCATTATGGAATCTTGATGAAGATAAAGGATTCCTCGAGCAATCCCAACTATGATTTCAAAGCGTTTTTTCCAATCAAGGAATGCATTCTTGTTTTGTTCTGTCCAAGTTTGTATCAGATTGTAAGCACATAGCTTAAGCAAGGCAAAATAATTAATGCATGGTTGAAGTGGAGGCGTACCAAAAAGAAAAGAGTCTAAGCTTTTATTGGGCATGTATTCATACATTAACATCTTCTCTTCTTCCTGAATGCAGCATCCCAAAAGCCTAACTAGATTTCTATGCTGAAGTTTGGCAATCAGCATAACTTCATTTTTAAATTCTTCTATCCCTTGACTTGAATTTTTTGACAGCCTTTTCACTGCTATGTCCTTTCCGTTGAATAGACGACCCTGGAAGTGCATACATAATTGCACCGTTGAATCATCCAATCAGTTATCGTCAGTTAATAAGCGTTTTCCTACGATTGAAACTAGCTACTGCATGAGTCCAGCTACTAGGATAAGCCCTTGTAGTCGACTTTGTTCAATCATGTGAGATGCATATATATATATAGACATAGGTGTCGATTGGACTGGATTTGGTCCAATCCGATCCGATCCAGTCCAATGTGAGTCCATTACAAATGAACCAGGTCCAATTCAATCTAATGAATAATTTGGATCAGTCCAATTTAATGTTTAGACCGTCCAATTTATTCAAATTCATTTTAATTTAGATTGGTTTTAACCCAAACCGGGTCCATTAACACATATATTCTTATCTTATATCAATGGACTGGATATTAGCTTAATCCAATATAAATTTGTTACCGATGGACCACGTCCAATCTAATCTAATAAATATTTTGAACTGGATTGATCCAATCCATCTAAATTGATTTTGGACTGGACGGGGTCTGATCCAAAATCGGTCCATTGATACCCTCATATAATATACACAAACAAAATGTACTGATATATAATTAAAAGCAGCACTATACTTCGATTAATGAAGAGAAAAATTACCTTATAAACTGGCCCAAAACCCCCTTGTCCAAGCTTGTTACTGGAGGAGAAATTGTCTGTAGCGGCCACTATCACACTTAAATCAAAGAATGGCAAATCTGATTTTATTCTCGTTCCCTCAAGCTCTTGAGAATTAGAAGAACCTTCAAGTCCCGGTGAATTAGTATTGAAATTCAAAATCAGCTCGGGATATCCTCGCTTCATAATTGTATCTGTACAGTATTGTGGCATAATAGTAATCTTAGGCCATGTTTGGTTCAATTTTCATTCTTTCTTATTCTTACCCAAAATGAAATTTTAAAATAGACAAGAATGGTAAAAATAGGTGGAATGAGCAAATATTGCTATGAACCAAATGCTTTTTTTCCTAAAAATGATTTCTTTTTAGACTAACAAGTGTCCTATATTGCTCATTTTCTCATTCTTTTCAGAATGAGAAAATATTGCTATGAACCAAACACTTTTTTTCCTAAAAATGAATTCTTTTCAGATTGACAAGTGTCCTATGTTGCTCATTTTCATTCTTTAAAAAAAAAAAAAAACTATGTTGGTATTCATAAACTGCCAACCTAGGTATCCAAAATTGTTGGCATAGATGTTTACCGGTGGATGGCCGGCAGTTAGGGCTATCAATTGGGGTAGATTTGGTCCAATTTGGTCCAATCCAATATTGATCCATTCACAAATGGACTGGACCAATTCCATACAAACCAAGTCCAATCCTGTCCAAATAAAATGCGAATGGAATGCATTGGGTCCAATCCAATCCAAATTGAATCAAACACCAAAATAACATGAGAAATCTAAAAAAATATATAAAAAACTACAACACCTGCTGCAATCCAATCCAGTCCAATTAAAATCCAAACTAATTGGATTGGGTCCAATCCAATCCAAAGTGAATGAATAAAAGTACTTTTGTAAAAGTGATTTCATAAAAGTGCTTTGATAAGGGTACTTTTATAAAATTGCTCTTATAAAAGTACTTTTGAAAAAATGCTTTTATAAAAGTACTTTTATAGAAATACTTCCATAAAAGTGATTTTACAAAAGTAGTTCCATAAAAGTTCTTTCATAAAAGTACTTTCGTAAAAGTGATTTCATAAAAAAATACTTTTGTAAAAGTGCTTTTGTAAAAGTACTTTTCATAAAATTATTTTTATAAAAGTACTTTTGTGCAAAAGTACTTTACTTTTGCAAAAGTACTTTTCATAAAATTACTTTTATAAAAGTGATTTTGTAAAAGTGTTTTTGCAAAAGTGTTTTCATAAAAGTGTTTTTATGTCGGGCTTTAGTTTTAATTGGTTTTAATTTGGATAAGGGTTTGGCATCATGATCGGATTACTAGGAATTTGGTTTAGGTCCGATTAAGACTGGTAAGAACATGGACCAATTTATTTTGTATTGGCCAAATCCAATAATTATAACAGACTGTCCAAATCTGATTTGATAAGGTTTGGATCGGATTGGATCCAATCCAAAGCTGGTCCATTAACACCCCTACCGGAAGTCAATGTTTTGTAGACAAAGTTTCCTCAAAGATTGAAAATGAGCAAGATGGGGCATGATTATTTTTCATGTTGTACCCTACCTCAATTTTTGTGCTATGAGCTGATTTTTTATTCTAAAATGAATGTGGCCCATGATAAGAATTTTGTAACCAATCTAGTCACGGCTGGAAATGTAGTGAACATGAAAATTGGGGTCCTCACAGATTTTTCAAAAATTAGTGATTTTTAAAAAATCAGTAAATATTGTTATTTGGTATCATTTCTTCCACATAAACCGATGTCTGAAAAAATCAGCTTTGAGTCAATTTGGTACTAACTCTCAAGGGTTGATTAATTTTGCATTAGAGTAATTATTCAATGCCATGTTGGATGCCATATTATCCTCAAAAAACCAGAATCAACTGAAAATCAGGAAATTGTAGATTTTTTGAAAATCACCAAAATTGGCCAACCAAACAGAAATTTCAGCGCCCATTCCTATAGCAGTGATGTGGCTCCGACATGATAGTGATTTTCAAGTTATTAGCATTGATGCCAAACATATCCGTAAGTCCCATGTCATGGAGTAACCATCGTAACCATAACAGCTCAGAGGTAGTGTTAGCAAGAGCTCTATATTCAGCTTTAGTACTGGAACGAGAGACGCGTTTGCTTCTTACTACGCCAAGATATAAGAGAATCTCCAAGAAAGAAGTAATAACCAGTAGTGGAGCGTCTATCAGTAGGATCACCGGCCCAATCAACATCAGAATATGCGATCAACTGAAGAGAGGAAGAACTGGAGTAGTGAAGTCCATGAAACAAAGTGCCCTTTACATAATGGATGATACGAAGCATAGCAGCATAATGAGTAGTGTGAGGGGCAGACATGAACTGAATCACAATATGAACAGCATACGCAATATCAGAACGAGTAACAGTAAGGTATACAAGATTGCCAACTAGTTGCCGATATAAGGTGCAGTCACTAAGAGGAGTACTGCCAGTGGCTGTTAAATGGGCATTAGGCTCAATCGAAGTGTTAACAGTCTTAGTATCAGTGAGTCCTGCACGAGAAATAAGATCAGTAGCATACTTGGCCTGAGATAGATAATATCCCGATTGGTCGGAGGAGACCTTAACGCCTAGGAAATAATTTAGTTGACCAAGATCTTTCATTTCAAACTGTTTGCTAAGAAAAGTCTTAAGAGCGGAAATGCCTTGCAAATCATCGCCAGTAATGATCATGTCATCCACATAAAGGAGGAGGACACAACCCTGAGAGGTCTTACGGATGAACAAGGCATGATCATAAGTGCTAGATTTAAAACCAAACTGACAAACAGTAGAGTTGAACTTGGAGAACCATGCTTGAGGTGCTTGCCTAAGTCCATATAGAGCCTTACGGAGACAACAAACCTGATTAGGGAGATGATCATAACCAGGAGGGGCTGCATATAAATCTCTTCAGAAAGATCGTCATTGAGAAAAGCATTCTTAACATCCATCTGAAATAGCTGCCAGTGCTTAGCTACAACAATTGCAATAAGACTGCGAACAGAGGTGAGACGGGCAACTAGGGCAAAAGTCTCCTCATAATCAATGCCATACTCCTGTGTGAACCCTTTTGCTACCAATCTAACTTTATACCTTTCAACTGAACCATCTGCCCGGGTCTTGATTTTGTAGACCCATTTACAACCAATCACGGATTTATCTGGAAGCAGGTCAACTAAATCCCAAGTGTGAGTGCTTGTAAGAGTTTGAATTTCTTCTACCATTGCTTTCTGCCATAGAGGGTCAGTACTAGCCTCGCGATAGGTGCAAGGTTCGTATAAAGATACAATGGTAGAATAACAATGAAAATCACGAAGAAGGACGAAAGGTTTAGTGACCCTACCAGAACGACGGAGTGGAGTATCAAAATGGTCAGGGTTGAACTCATAAGTAGCAATCAATGGCTCAGAAGAAGGCAGAGCTGGAGGATCCATGGCCAAGGTAGATGCATTCGGAGATGTTACAGGTTGTGCAGTACTGTTAGAACTATCAGAGGAAGAAGTAGTCGGACCTGCAGGTAAATCATCAGGAAAAAGTGAAATAGTAGGATCAGTAAAAAAATGTGAAGATGTCGTGGTAACTCGAAATGGGGAGAGACTTGAGAACATTTTGTATTCCCAAAAGGTAACATGACGAGATATGCGAAGTCATTGGGAAAGAGGATCCCAACACCGATATCCTTTATGTTTAATACCATATCCGAGAAAACAACATAGACGTGCTTTTGGTTCCAATTTGGTATGTTCATGAGGTTGTAATAGAACAAAACAAGCACAACCAAATACACGAAGAGACTGGTAATCAGGGCAATGGCCATACAATCGTTCATAAGGAGAAATGTTACCAATAACAAGAGAAGGAATGTGATTGATGGTATAAACAACAGTGAGGGCTGCTTCCCCCCAAAAACATTCAGGACAAGAGGAAGAGATTAAAAGAGCTTGAACAATATCAAGAATATGCCTATGTTTTTGTTCTGCACGCCCATTTTGTTGAGAGGTACTGGGACAAGATCTATGAATGATAGTTCCATTTTGTGAAAGAAATTGGGTAAGGATAAAATCTCTATATTCCATGGCATTATCAGTGTGAAAAATTTTGATGATAGAGGAAAAATGAGTTTTGATCATGGTGGCAAATTGAATATAAATTGCAGGTAATTCAGATTTATTACACATGAGATAAATTCATGTATGTCGAGAGAAATCATCAATGAAGATCACAAAATAACGCGAACCACCCATGGTATTATGAGGCGAAGGTCCCCAAATATCAGAATGAATAAGATTAAAAGGTGCAGAAGAAACAAAATCACTTATATTAAAAGGCAAAGCATGATGTTTTGAAAGAGGACATGAAACACAATCAAAGTGTGTTGTTTTAACAGGACCAAAACATCCATTAGAAATTAAAGATCATAATCTAGAGGTAGAAATGTGACGTAGGCGAGAATGCCAGACACTAGAGGTGACAACAACAACAAGAGATGGTAATTGAAGAGATGATAGCTCAAACAGTCTCTCAATCTTACGGCCTGTCCCAATGATCTTCCCTATCTGTGGATCCTGCACAGTACAATCACGACTTGAGAAATGTATTTCAAAACCAAGTTCACATAGTTGTCCAACAAATATAAGATTTAGAGATAATTGAGGTACCAAAAAAGTGTTAGGAAGTAACAAACGAGATGTTGAAATAATTCCTACACTTTTGACAGTTAAGGTGGAATTATCGGTAGTATGAACAATTAGTGCAATAGAAGGATGTGACTTGGAAGTAAATAGGGATGAATTGGATGTCATATGATTGTAAAAGGCAGAATCAAAATACCATGATGATGTAGTACTTGGAGTAATGGACAAGACTAAATTAGAATGCATACAAGAATCAGGTTGGAGCTGGTGAAGAAGAGCTTGGAGTTCTCTAAGAGAAAATTTTGGAGAGGTGTTATCAGAAGAATCCTCTATGGCAGCAGTTGCAGTAGAACTCGAATCCTGAGAACCCATGGATGAGGACTTTTGTCCAAACGCCTTTTTGGCTTGCAAGCGGTGGCACTCAAAAATAGTATGACCAGTCTTTTTGCAGTAATTGCAGAAAGTCCGTTTTGAAGATTTAGAGGAAGTTGAAGAAGTAGCAGACGTACTCGAAGTAGCAATATCAA